ATGGTATAAAATATCAAATTTGCTAAAAAATCTCTTCATTGTTTTACGTTTATTTACTTCTATCAAATAATACGATAAATTTCACTCGGGTAATAAGTTTGCGTCCACGGAGCACGGATCTGTATACAAACACACGCGACCCGTAGGACGCCCAGTTTTGTCTCTCCCATGCACCCAAAACGGGCCCCTCAGGTGTCGCGCGCTCTCGCAAATTAAGATACCTACTGGATGCAAGATGATCATCGTAGAGAATTGATAAAAACTTTTTTAAATATATACAGGAAGACGCAATAAAATCTGTAAATTGAACCCCAAATATACATTGCAAAATATACACTGCACGGTAGCGCCCTCCAAATTCCGCACGGTCAATGGTCGCACTATGAAATACGTTAAAAAGCATTCTGGTGATGAAATTGAGTCCACGCCAAATTTTTGCCCATGCATTCTACGCATGAAAAGACGCCTTTGCACAAAAAATGAGGCTAGGTTAATCTTGCGTCCGTATACCGGACGCATCAAGTCGGTCGGACGCAGGATCAATAGCAAAAATCGCCATATAAGACGCAACATGATCAGCAAGATGTATATATATATATATATATATATATATATATAGGGTAGACTATGTAATGATGGGCCCCTTAAGTTTAATATACCGTACAAAACACGACGCAGGTACTGGCAACACTGGTGGGTGGTAATCTGTGCTGGGAGATTTGTGTGAGGGTGGCCACAGTGCACGCAGGTTCAGAATCAGATTCAGACTCAGAAAACAAGCGCGAGAAATAAAAAGTGTAGTTTAAGAAGCAGGGTGGCCATAGTGGCAGCAGGCAACCTGCTTAAACTACACTGTTTATTTCTCGCGCTTGTTTTCTGAGTCTGAATCTGAATCTGCGTGCACTCTGGCCGTACCCACAGGCTCGTGTGATGTCAGCTTGAGGAAAGCAGATGATGGCCACAGTGGAGGCAGGTAATACAAGATGCGGACGCGAGCACTGATGTCAGATTGGGGAGATTCCTCCCAAGTTTAGGGGGTTTTTAAAGCGATGGGGGATTAATAGGGAGAGAAATTTCAGACATCTGTTTGATATTATTTGTTTATTTAAATGTATATAAATATAAGATTGACTTTATTACAACAATAAAGAAACTTCTCACTGTTGAAAAGTTCTTACTTTGGATTATATTGGATATTTTATATGAGTATAATATAAAACCAATCGTAACAATTTAAGGCTAATAATTATTTTTTAAAACGGGAATCATTTCACGGGAATGATTGGGTATCTAAAAAAGATCTGTAGGTATGTGTGCCTGTTGTTTAATTTATGTTTACATTTTATGCTATACTTTCTGTAACAATCATTACGACGCAATACGCGTTTTACAATGTAATATAATAAATTGTATTAAAATTAGGCTACAAGAAAAAAGTATTTCTTTAACTTCAACACCCATTTCTCCAGCGAAGTTTTGCCAGTACCTATGAACGACTTCCTATTTTAATGGTTTGCCCCTTTTAACCCATACAACAGGGTTAAAAAAACTTTCGCAATAAACGCTTCTATATTTATTATGTTAATTCTAATTTATTAATTAAGAAACAGGAGTAGATCGCAAACAAGAAGCAAGGCACTAAGCACGCACTTTTCTGAGTCTGAATCTGATTCTGAACCTGCACTGTGGCCGTACCCTTAGGGTGAATCTGAGTGCACTCTGGCCGCACCCTTAGGCGGGATTTCATCGAGTGGTAAAAAGGAGGAGGTTCTGTGTTCGACTGTATATATATATATATTTATGTATGTTCACCGATTTCTCCGTCAATTGTGGACCGATTTCCAAAATTCTTTTTATATTTGAAAGATTGCACTTCTGATGTGGTCCCATTGGAACCAAGTCAGAATCTGATGGTGGCACCCGGGGAAATCGAGGGATAGCTTCAAATTTCAAAGGCACGCACGATGTTTTTTATGCATGTTTACCGACTTCTCCGTCGATTGTGTTATTGTTTACTTGGACGATGTAATTTTCACTAAAATGGATGATTAAAAAAACAAACCAAAAAGAAAACCGTAGTTCCATTTTCGATTTTGAAGTCGGTTTTATTTTTGTGGTTTTAAATTTGTGTTACAACCGTCTTCGCAACTGAAGAATTAGTGGAATCTTTAAACTATATGCTATTCCGGTCAAGTGGACGTGAGAACTTTATTGTAGTGTTGACTACCTCACAGAAGCTTATCGAATAAACCAACTCGATTACTCGATACATTTCGTGAATTTTCGTGCCAAAGGGTACGGCCAGAGTGCACTCAGATTCAGATTCAGATTCCGAAAACAAGCGTGAGAAATAAACAGTGTAGTCGAAGGGAACGGCCAGAGTGCACTCCTGATTCAGATTCAGATTCAGATTCAGACTCAGAAAACAAAGCGCGAGAAAAAGCAGGCAACCTGCTTAGACTCCACTGTTTATTTCTCGCGCTTGTTTTCAGAATCTGAATCTGAATCTGAGTGCACTCTGGCCGCACCCAAACACTCCAAGAAACATTAGAATGCGTCACACCCAGTGTTGCCAACTGCTATTGTAAGGAATGGGCTAAACCATCCGCAAAAATAAAAGAGAACCAAATAAATAAAATGGTTTAAAATATTTAAAAAAAGCAGTTCTTCGTCGTCCGAATCGTCTTCATCAGTGTTGGAATCATGGTCTGAATTCACGGTTGATGTGGCGGCTGTTTGTGAAGCTGGTGTTGATTGTTGGAGTTTAAACTTGTACATCTCTTTCGAACAGACTTTTTCAAGAATTTCGTTCGGAATATCATAATTACAGCAAGTTTTATTTGCTGCCCAGATCGAATACGTAATATTATTTAAGTGTGAAGATAAATTCAATTTCGTTGCTTTGTTTTTATTATGTTCATCTGGCTAAACACTCTTACCACGTCGGCATTTGAATGTGATAATACTAAAACGAGCAAAGCAAAATCAACTAATTCTTGGAATATTTTCAAATCAATTAGAATATGATAATATAGTATGCTACTGTCAGGTAATAATTAATTGTGTTTCAGAACGCACCATCGATTGGTTTGATAGCGTGATAAATTGCAGACTTAAAAATGCACCAGTTAAGGCACTGGGCACTATTATGGAATTTTGAGCGCTAAAATAGCCAGCGTTAAATGTATAGGTACCGAAAGATGGTGCAAGTAAATTTACATGCAATTTCAGGTGAAGTCTTGAAACGGTTCTGCGAAGAACCAAGATTTAATTACCTATATCAAATTTCATTTTTGTAGCGAACATATTAGTTTTACTTGCCTGCCGGGGGGCATAATAATATATTCATTTGAAATGTCGCATCACGTCTCGTAAAATTTTTACTTAGAAGTGACGTCACAAACCCCCACTCCCAAACATTGATGCGGTTTATCTTTGTCGTTTTTATTTGATTGACAAAAGACAAAATATATGTCTAACTTTTGATAAATTATTTTAATTTAATTTACCTCATCCCTATTGTCGCCAGTCAAGCAATCGTCCAGCGTCTATAGTAACGCAGCCCGATAATTCATTACGACAGAATTGTGATGCTCATGCTACGGGGACTGGCAAGTAAGCACAAGGTAAGTAATATCGTCTTATACTGCAAGTTTCGGAAACGATATGAGTACTGTACGTTTTTTTGCATTTCATAGAGGTTAATCAACGGTATGCGCGGTCAAAATTTTTATGGGTGACCAATTTTTTTTGTAGATTTTCAAAACTTTTATTAATCAATTATAATATATATGTATCTACAGATTTGTTCGCATCCATCAGTGAGCGATTCAAACTTACAGTTGTCCGTTTTTTTAAAAGCGTGATACATTTTGACGGCATGAGAAATAAAGAAGGTTTTTAAATAAACACCTTAATTTCTTATCTCTAAGGGCTAGCGCATATATACAACTTTGAGTTGAAAAACAATTTTGTTGTGTATCGTATGTTTAAAGCAATATATTGAAGCGCAAATACTGTCAACTCGATAGTTGTACAACAAAAAAGTCAAAAAGCTGTATCGATCTGCTTTTGATTAAAAACTATCGACAACTATCGATCAAATGCTCAATTTGTATTGTATTGTATTGATGTGCACATACCATCGACTAAACAGTCTATCCTCGACTGTCAGTCTAGCATAAGCATTTGGAGTGGCTTCACGGCTCTTGTCACCATGGCGGGCTTTGCAGGAACTATTACGGAGCACACAGAGGAGTTTATTATTAGTGTAGAAAAAAGGCCTGCACTTTACTTAAAGGATCTGAAAGAGTATTCTGACATAAATCTAAAGAAAAAGCTATGGGAGAAAGTATGCATGTTAGGTTCCCGGGGAATAACCAAAAAACTAAATTAAACGCGGATGAAGTCGCGGGCGGCCACAAGTATGTTAATAAAAAAAAAATAAAAAAAATTGTATGATTATATTTATTAAACAAAGATTTTATACAATATCAATATTTAAAATTTCTATAAAACAAAGCACAAATTAGAAATTTCTTGTTAATTGACATTATTTGTAACACCTTGACTCGAGCGTTGCTAAATAAAGACTGGTCGAATTGAGGCGATAAAAAAATTCGACGATCGACTGATTCTATTGTATGCGTACCTCCATCAACTAAACGGTTTAGCTGTGTGGAAATCACGAGAACTACAAAACGCAACAAACAAAACAGTTTAGCCGATGCATAAGTTGTATATATGCGCTTGCCCTAATACTTACGTACTAAAGAGTATAAATAGGTTTTTTAAATAAAATTTTATTTGATGAACGGATTTTTGACATTTTTAAGTTCTCATCAAATTAGGCAAGTAGGCCATCTTTTATAAAGAAGAAGTCATATTAAAATTAAAATAAAAGAGCTACACAGGGTGGATAATAAGTAGTTACATTCAGAGGAAGTACCTAACGAAGTTTATGATAAATTAACATTAATGAGTAATCATTTTTACTAATTATGATGCTGTCGAGAGTTCAAGGGTGAGATTTTTTATTAACATCACCGATTTACCTTCTTAATTAATTTCAAGATTTGTTTTTGAGATATAGTAGGGCACTTTTCATACATGTTTCATACCATGTAAGGTAAGTAGCCCCACATCATATTTGAGAATGCTACTATATAGGTTATTGTACAGTGAAAACCCAGTAAATCGAAATGTGTCGATACCTAATACAAACCGACTACGTTTACCGTCTGAGAAAATCCATTATTGTGTTTCCACTTATCTGTATCACAATAATAGATTAATGGAAATGTTGACAATGTAGGCCAGCGAGCGTGGTCCTCGGAAGAAGAGGAGAAGGTGGTATACGCCTGGCCACTTTGGACTCCGAAAAAGCTGAAAAATGCAAATCTATGAAAGTCCTACTTCTTACTTAGGATCAGAGTATAACACTTGAACTAGGTATTTAGTGGAATGACTTGACGAAAACTTATCAAACAGGTTTGCTGTTTCCGTTACCAAACATGATGTCCTTTTTTCGTAATTCTTGGAAATGCATAATAGCCTCTTTCGATTGCCCTGCATAATCTCCCCGGATAGTTTACCGTTACTGCAAATATTATTCTGAATTTTTGCTTATATCCATTGAAACATAAATTGCTAATTTCACTGCGCTCGCTGTGCAATTTATATTGAAGCTTGTGTCATAGGTTCGCATATCGCAGCGAATTCTTATTGTAATCCAATGAAGGGCTAAAGTGAGAAGCAAACTTGGATGGTATACATCATTGTTATGGTCCGTACTCTCACGTACAGTGTTATTCGTACGTGTCTTTGAGTTGTGTGTTTTGCGGTTAAAACTTGATTTCTACTCGTTTTAGAGTATAAAAAATATCGAGTAATACCGTATTTGAGTATAGGCCATATACATACATGTATGTCGGACTATTACACACTCCGTACGGACCATTATAGGTTTTTCGCTACTTAGAACTAGAACCAAAAAATTACCACTGACGTTACATCTGTAGCTACATAATTTACTCAGAAACTGTTATTCAGTGCTGTAAAATCTTAGTGTAAAATCAACCACAGAAACCCCAATTCCTTTTTCATAATTGATAGGAGTTGTATTATATATTTGAAATCAACAGAAGGCAGTGGAGTAATGAAGTTCAGGTTAGAACTACTCATGAGAAGTTATTTCGTAATTAATGACGTCGATGCTGTTGGCGGGCTGAGGCAAAGAAATTGCACTGCAAGTTATATAATAGAGGTTTTAATGTTAAAAGAGTGGCAAAGAAGCATTTTGGCTCGCCTGATGGTAAGTTGCCACCAATAGCCTATAGAATAAGCTTGCGATACCAAAAATACACTTTCGTATTGGCGAACCAGACCCAAACCCCTAGGTACCCCGTGGAGCCTTGGAACTTGACTCACCAGCAGAAACACAACACCACCAAAAGGTAGTGTTATTTCACGTGACTACAGTCTTCTGTTTGAATTTGAGCGGAAAATCCGCTATGCCCAACCTCTCTTGACCTCTTTCAACATTTATGCATTTTTTCAGGGCTTCAAATGTGTGTTTCACAAAAAGGCATTTAACAATAGTGACTTCTACTAAGAATGTTTTGGGAGGGTGTTTTAAAACTTTGGGAAAAGAAATAGATTTTATTAGAATACATGGCCCTACGGCTGATGAGGTAATTTTATTTTTATATATATTTTACAAATTCCATTTCAATAGCGGGTTGCCCGCGGCTTTGCCTGTACAAAACAATAGTTATCTCGTACAAACTTTGACTCCCTATTTCAGCCCTTTCAAGTTTTCGAACAAACATGAGATTATGTTCTCCTCCATCCAAGGTTCTTTTTTACTCCATAACAAAATTCTACAAAATCGGTTCAGCTTTCTGCTGTTGCTTCAGGCCTAGGAAATACAACGAACCAAATGAACATACTAGGAAATATTATGGGATTGTTGATTATAATTGCTTTCTTTATGTAAGTGTAGATTTGTACTCCATTGATTCTTTAAACATAGAGTATGTTATAAAACTTTTTACGAAGAAGATTCTCTTACCTACATGCCTGATCAAACCGCCTTATATCAGTCGTACGGTTGTTCATGATAATGTTTGCAGGTGACAAGAGACGTGGATCTGACGGATAAGACTTGTTTGCTAACGGGCGCCAGTGGTGGCATTGGGCTGGAGATGACGCGCTGCTTGTTGGCTCGCAACTGCACGACACTGGCGGTGTGCCGCAACCTCTACGAGGCCGGGGGCGCCCTCAGGAGCACCTGCGATAATCAACATCTCCTCCGCTTGTATAAAACAAACCTTGCATCCCTGAAATCTGTCAAAAACACCTCGGACGAATTAGTGAAATTAGACAGGTGAGTATATTTTTTTTTGCATTTATAGAATAAATAACATGGCATGCAAGCACAGGCGGGCCAAGATATTACTCTGTTTATGTATGTACATTCAATTTCTTTGGAAAATTTTAGTTCCGATTTGATCTGATTGAAGTTCAATACAGGTACTTAAACCGATATCAGACGAAACCTCAAAATATCAATATCATTAATTGAGTCTAGACTAGACAAACATTTTGTTAGACCAAATCCTCTCCCATCCACGGACCTGAAAAAAAAAAACGGACGACAAACTAAATGATGTGAACTTAGATTAAAACACTTTTTGTTTTAAGCTAAGTTCACATAATTTAGTTTGACGTCCGTTTTTTTTGCATGGATATGAAGCATGCAAGGTCCTACAATTTCGTTTGTTGTGCACTCACTCATGCACCAGGGGGTCAGTCGCCTAACGGAATTGCTATAGGTATCGCTATCGCTTACGATTTCATTTTGTTATTTCTGACCGCCGAAAGTTTTCAAATACCACACGCTCATTTTCTTTAATATTCTTGTTACCAATACATAAGAAAAATAACGAGTGCGGGCCATTTGAAAACCTTCGGCAGTAAGAAATAACAAAATGAAATCGTAAGCGATAGCGATAGCCATAGCATACCCGTTAGGCGAATGGCCTCAGGTCCGAAACCCGACAACCCGCTGCCACTGTCACACTACACAACATTTGTCCATTGTAATCGCTTGACCCAAAACTTCTATGAAATACATACCTTTTAGCTTATATTCATTTTTAAGCTTTTTACTAAACAAATTATAAATGCCGCGTTGTGCAATTCCCGGTTTTTATGAGTTAACTGCATGCTTACCGACTAAAATATAATTTTATATGCTGCTGTGAAAAGGGGGGTAGAACTGAGCTGCCGTCAGTCTTCATTTTGATTAGAAATAACTGCACCAAAATTAAAATTGCGGTCATATGCCTCAAGTCTGTAAAAAAACCCAATGTTATATTTCCCATTTTAGCCAGAGGTAACCTAACTCTATGGGATGTCTGACTGATGCAAAAATAAGATAGCTTTGACTAATGAGCCCGCTAAAAGTTACTGAGATCCATGAACTATTAAAATAATCATGAAAAATGCATTTATGTACCGAGAATGAGCATTGTAGCATAATAATAAAAACAGTACTTTTTTACAAGATCAGCTTGCCTCTGCCTTGCAAAGACGCTCCTCTCCTTTTTAACTCTGTTTTCAGCTGTATTAAAGACCATTTTGAATACATTTTCACCATTTATTTATTTTTTTTAACAACAAAAAAACTCGTTTAATATTTGACTGCTGCAATATTCGGCTGTGGCTTGGGTCAAGCGTTTGTAGCGCCATCTATGTTGAGCTTTGCGTATACTTCTCCATTGCTATTTTTTTTAAAATATGCCACATTTCGATGACGTAGATTTGGTTCAGTACGTAGTATCTGCGTGATTTATAAATCTATAAACATTTTGGTAGGACTGCGTCTTCCGCTGTCCGGCCGGATGCAGTAATGACTATCATTTGTGATAGTTCCTATAACAAAAAAATATTAATATCAATTACCCAATTGGCACTAATGGCACTGATTATTTCATTTTTATAAATGTATATTATTTACCTCATACTTTACTAAGACACTAATATATACATGTAAAAAATAAGTTTCTTTATACGTAACAAGTTTTTCTTTTCTATCTCTGTGGTCATAGAAATTAATTTGATATGCCAACATTATGTTTCTGAAGTGCAACTATTTCAATTGCTGAAATATCGGAAGCTCACAAAGACAAAAAATGGTAAATATCCCATTATTTTAATATGTATTTGATTACGTATTGTTGCCAATGTTTTATTTTGCGAGATTTAAAAAGTAGGGAAAATTGGTGATTTATATGACCACCCTCGAATCACGCACACACACACACGGTAACCGGGCGACCATTGGCATGCTTCACTTACGCTGACACGAAGTCAATCTCTAACTAATCTGTGCACGAAGTTACGTCCGTCTTTTTTTCAGGTCCGTACATCCATCATTATGTTCGCACATCTAGGTACTAAAGGAGGTTTCGTACCGAGAAGAACTGTCAAAAAATTCAGCAAGAGCTGTTTTTTTCTCTCCCCGTTTTATTCTACACATAACTTTGGTACTACATAAGCCCAATAGTATCTCCCGAAAGGAAATTACAACAACATCTATTAAAACAATCATTTTTGTGTTTTCTTGCTCTACCCATACTATGCAAAAATAAAAAAAACTAGTTGTATCATTGCAGGAAAATCGATATAGTTATTTTAAATGCTGGAGTGTTTGGTTTGCCGTGGACTATTACAGAAGATGGTTTGGAGACTACTTTCGAGGTCAACTATTTGAGCCAGTATTATCTATTGACGAATATTGAAAATATGCTGGCACCCGACGCGCGTGTAGTGTTCGTGTCGTCGGAATCGCACAGGTGAACAATCGTGTTAGATTCTTTGATGTGTAACATATTTCCTCTCGCTTTCCTGCAATTTGTTGTGAATTCGTGAAATGGGACGAAAGTGTATAACAGGAAGTCGCGAGAACGCGCGCTATTTGATTTGATTTTAGAACGAAATGTTCAAATGGCTTATTCCTTTTGTAGAAGTTTTATTTCTGTTTTTACTAATACATATAAGGTGAGGTTTCAAATGTTACACATCATAAGCGGCTTACTGTAAGGCTCGCTCGTTTTTTTTTTGGTAAAAGAGCAGCAAACGATGGCTTTATGTTAAATTGCCTCCTAAAACGCTCAGAGGCGGCTCTAGTCCTTGTGGCGCCAGTGTGCCACCAGTACCCTGGCGCCCCCTAGTAGGAGCGGGGTCAAAATGGAATATTTACAATTATATTTTCATAAAAAAATCGGATGCAAATTACAACAATAAAAATCACAAATTTGTAGTTCTTTTAATTTAAAACTATAATATCTTACAGGACACTCGTACAAATATACACACAAACAAATGTTTTTACATAAATAATACTTTTCGTGCTTTTGCATTAGCGAAATCTTTAACAATGTCACTGACTTCAATTTTGATTTCATGTTCAATACTTATTAAGGATAAATTTTTCAATCTACTTTGCGACCATGTTGATCTTAGATAGTTTTTAATTATTTTTAGTTTAGAAAATGACCTTTCGCTGTGTGCTACCGTGACTGGAAGTGTGAGGTAAATCCTCAGTGCTGTGGACAGATTTGGGAATACTGAAATCAATTTATTCGTAAACAAGTAATTTAAAAATATCCAACGGCGTAGTGGAATCATCAATAAACATCATAAATCGATTTCATTAAAGAACTCGAAATTTTCCACATCTGAGAGCCAGCTTGCTAAAGTTTATTTTCTAAATTAGAACAATGTGCTTTTTTTGTATCCGAGTCCAAATCCTTCCATTGTGCCAATTTTTGAAGAAATGAAAACTACACTATTTTTATTGAGAAGTTCGAACCGTTCGTCGAACTTAGTAATTGCGGTGTCTAATAAATAGTAGTAAAAATTGACTTTAAAATGTATTTTCGCGTCTGTGATCGGTTCATCCTCCGCCTCATAATTAAAAACCCTTTTACGAGCGTGAGGGCGCGCAGGTGTGGGAAATTCTGCTATTGCCTCGACTTCTTCCGCTAGTTTTCGCGCTGTTAAGGAGCTTTTCAAAAGCGGAGTCATTACGGAATCCAGACAAACTTATTTTTGCATTATCAATCATTTTTCACCGCTTCTGACAATACAACGTCTGACTTTTGAAGTGTATTAACTATATTTATCTAGCTTAAAATTTCAAACCAAATAAGCAGAGAGCAGATGAATTTAAACGATTTAATTTTTCCCAGTAATGAATTTGCCATATATCTTGACTCCGCATCTTTGCTCTATCAGAATATATGGTAAACAAGGCATCATACACTTTTCCCAGTTCAAAACGTAGAGCTTTTACTGCTTCAACCCTGTTCACCCAACGAGTATTTGAGAGTGGTTTTAAACTTAAAGTTAGCAAATCTTTAGCAAGTATTTGCCACCGTGCTATTGACGCAAAAAAAAACCTAAATTTCTTGCACAATTGAAAATAAAATTTACTATTTCTAATGAACTTTTAGCAGCGTCAATCACTACCAAATTTAGTCATATAAAAATAACGTAAGTATAAACTTATAAAAAATCTAACAAAAATTGAGTTAAACCCAGGCCAGTAGTGTCTGTAATAGGAAATAAAACCCAAAAATTGTTCTTTTACTTCAGCCTTGTTGTTGCTTGCATTTAAAAGAACGAACCGTACGGTTCGTTCGAAAGCCTTTGAAAATTACCGCCACAGCATCCGTTGCTATTTGAATTTGATTTTTTAGTCATTCTAATACAGCCAAGTTAGCAATGATGATCGGCGTGTTTTCAAACGAATCAAAAACGGTGCCGGCTCGCGCCTTAGGTAGTGATACTTAATTATAATCTTTAATTATCTGTTTTAAGGCTGATTTCACGTTGAAATAAAAGTAATTGTGTAGAGTAGGTAAAGACGCAACTTGTGGTGGCGCGCTTGCTTTGCTACCGCGCGCCCGGCGTGGCAGGATGCGCCGAAAGGCCGGCAGGGCCTTAGACCCGGCGCCCGTGTGCACCGCACACCCTGCACTATAGGTAAAGCCGCCTCTGAAAACGCTTACGGGTATCGGTAGAGGCAACTCACAAATGATGCTCTTACCAGAGAGTAAGAGTTGATATCATTATCGTTGTTGCCTACCCGCACCGACTGCTTTTTTATTTTATTTATTTTTTATGTCCGGAAAATACCTTACGCATCTTCAACTACCGGGGGAGCGAAATGAAAGTATCTGGGCTCGTCCCTGCTCATTTCATGCAACCCTGGGGCTCGATGAAATGAGCAGGGCTCTACCCAATGCCCTGAACAGGGCCAGTAAAAACCAGAAAATACTCCAGCGTTGGCCACCCGACACGCACTGTGAGGAGTAATGCGTGCCGGGAGTGCAGCTTTGGTCGAGGCAATTGTTTCCGACTGGTGCGCCGCGCACCCACAGGCGATTGTCCGCTAGCAGACCTCGCCCGATGAGGATGCCCCCGGAGCATGTGTAATGCGAGCCCGTCCCCCCAGGGAAAACTCGCGGCTCCCGCAGCAGTGGGAAGGAGATGGTAGGTATTTCTCTCCCTCTTTCTCCCGCCCCTCCTTGGACCTAAGGCGGGACCACGATTAGTAAGCTTGCGGCCACTGGGGCAGGCGCTCCTACCCGGGTCCTGAAGAGGACCTTGTGCGCACCAAATGCTCTGTCTCGTGGAGTCCGGTAACATTACTCAGTAAAAATTAGTTAACTAAATCAAAGTATGGGTCAGCAAGAATGCCTTTATAAGGCTTTTGCCGCCCCACGCAGTTCTAGACGGGGGCTCCTGTAGATATAAAATGAAATGTCACTATTATACACAAATATTATTATATACTTAGTTTGAAATGCGTTTTTCATGATTTCAGAAACATAAAGTGGTCTTTGAACAATATACTGGCGCCGACTATAGATTCGCTCTCCCTGCCGAAAGACGAGTACACTTCAATCAGGGCTTACAATGTTTCAAAGCTGTGCGGCATTTTAGCGATGCATTATTTGGGCTACCGTTGGTTGAACACAAGCAAACAAGTTTTCTGTGCACACCCTGGGTCTTTTGTGAAAACAAAGCTATGTCGCAACTGGTGGGTGTATGAAGCCCTCTATACTACAATGAAGCCTTTCTCAAAGACGATCGTTAGTATTCTGCTTGCATTTTAATGTGTAAAACCTTATTCTAGTTTAGGATTGCTGTTCTATTTTGGTATATAATTGTAAGTGTAAATAACAGAAGGGCACTATCGACGCCATGAGATGTCGGCATAGGCCTAGAGATGCAAAAAAAAAAAAATTAAAAAATATCATGAAAAAAATGTTTTTTTCTGGAGAATGTTTTTTACGAGTAGGAAATTCAAAATCGTTAATGAAGTTTTTGAAGATACAGGCTTTTGAGTTTATTTTAAAGTTGTCTGATTATTTTAAAACCTACCACGCATTTTAGATTGAAAGTTACTAACCAAGTTTTCAAAAATTGCTAACATTTATGACGTACGGGCAAATGGGAAAATCGACGAATTCCCCGTTCGGTTTATGTTTGTTTTTGAAATATGAAAGCAGTTACAGAGCGCATTTGACGAATGTAAATTTTAGGGGCAATGTATGTGAAATCAGACAATATACCCTAATCAAACATTTATTTTTCAAATTTTGTTTTCTTGAAAAAAAAAAAATTTTTGAAATAAAATAAAGTAGTAGGATTGCGAAGGGTGCGGGTTCGAGTCCCGTCTGCTGCCTGGTCCGCGTGGAATTTTTTCTAGTTATATTTTCTTTAGATAAAATAAAGTACTAAGTTTATTTCATGATTTTTTTAAATGGTGAAAGAAACATTTTTTTGTTTATTTTACATCACTTAGACAGCCCCGTAATATTACTAGGAAACATGCAACAATTAAAGACTATTTTACAGGCTCAAGCCGCCAGCACTCCATTGTATTGTGCAACTTCGCCGGAATTAAAAGGGCTTTCAGCTTTGTACTTCAAGGACTGCAAAAGGTGCGAGGAAAGCGAACTCGCGAAGGATTTCCAATTGGCGTTCCGGGTGCAAGATCTCACGTTTGAGCTACTGCGCAATAGGACCGCTCCAGTCATGGAGACATTGTCCCAATACCGGGAACAAAGCAAAGATACAGAAAACGAGACGCTCGTTTCGAATTACTCGGGTTAGTGATCATACTGTGGTAAGCAGTTGACGGTTCTTGTTGATGATGTTGCAATATTTGATAGAAGATAGAAATTATGTCAGTAAGTTAGCAAGCATATATCGTCTATTGGTAATAAGAACTTAATAGGTGTCTACATTGAAGAAGTACTCAAATAACTTACGGAAAGGAAATTGTTTTGGTTTATAATTTTGATGATTCCTATTTATTACTATGGTCTAGGGAGTTCGTAAATATAAAATCGTATTTGAACAGCAGTTGTTCACTTATATAATAATAATTTGTGTTCTCTATTGGTTTTGAAATTTTATTTTCGAATGACTAACAAGCGTAAAATGAGCTGTCTATAATTATTGTTATTTATTTATGCTACTTGTAGACAAAATTTACCGTGTTAAATTTATCATCACAGTTTAACATTTGCTGGATATAACTTTTGCGATTATTTTACTATAACTATGCTATCGGAATTGATTATAAGAAAACAAATTATTGGTACAGGTAAAAATTTTATTGTAAACATGTAATAAATTAATACGTTGTTTTAAACATTGTTTTTATTATTTACTAAATACATACTTAGGTAATATTATCTAACATTATATGGGATAACCAAAAAGTGCAATGTAGGTATTGCACTTTCAAAGTACCTAAATGCATAACGAAAAGCCCGCTTAGTTAAAAGTACTTGAGCTTATTTTTCTATTCTGGGATAAAACTAATCTGCTTAATCAATTATATATAACCCGATGAAAAATAAGATGCGATTAGCGGGATCGATCTGCGACCGTAAAAGTTGGTTAACGCAACTTTTCAAATATATATCATATTTAAACATCAAGCAGTTACATGCTTTAAAAATAATAAAAATTATAAATATATCATATATATTCATTCGAATAGATTGCGAGTGCGAAATGTGTCAAATTTTGTACGGAAACTTGAACAGCAGCGCCATTACGAACGTAACGAGAACTAAAAATCAGTACACATTTGACAATGACATTTCGTACTCGCAAACTTGCGAATTCGATATTGGTTCGTGCTAAGGTTACTGTACCTCAAGTACGAACAACCAGCGATAAAGTATTCCTATCGCCATTTCAAAGTTTCTATGGAAAAAGTCAGTTTGTTCTTACGTCCGGTAGGTGCGCTCCATAGAAACTTTGACTTTAGGGGAAAAAGGGGACAATCTCGGAATTTGAGATAATAAGCTGGAAACGTGTACAGCTTATCTTGACGTTCTAAAAGTTGTCCAAAAGTTTCATATTATCTCGTGTCTGCGTTGTAAGTTATTCGAGGTCAAATGTTTTTTGTAATTATCTCGGTTTCTATGGTTCCAATCTCTTCAACACCTAATATAAAAATTAAAGATAAAAAAATTTGTCACAATTTTAGTCTCAACTTTTTCCTTTACGTTCAACCCTTTTTGAGATAGAGCTTGTTATCTCAAATTCCGAGGTGAAACCCTATAGTGACTGCACTAACAGTGTAGTCTCATGCCCTGGTTAAGGACAAATTCTGGTTCCAGTACAAAGAAAGCTGTTTAGACAAATAAATACAACTCTATAATGTCTATATAATATGATATTAGACCGATACACTTTCTTCTAAGGATAAAAATATCTGCCCTTACGGCGGCACCCAGGGACTTCAATTAATTTTAAAGATTCATTTAAATTATACAACACGACACTTGGACAAGCATTAAAATAAATTGTCGTCCCAGAGCGGCCGTACGTCTGTTAAGTAACAATATCTAATAGGTATAACATATTTTCATAACAAGATAACCGAATACACTACTTTGAAGTGAATACTTTTTCAACAAATCAATCAGTGGTCGGCGTGAATAACGTTAAAGATTGCCAAAAAGACTAAGCAAAACTTGCAACATACAATTTACAAACATCAGCTTTATAAATATAAAACTTTATATCTGTTTAAAAAGGCAACCGCTACTGATTTTCACAAAAAAGATTGCGCTGCAATTTGGCACACAGATATTAGGACGTAGACTGCTAAGAAAGTATTTTCCAAAATTCACCCCTTAAGGGGTCAAAACAGTGCTGTCTTTGACCTATTGGGGGCCCTGGGCATATTAGGATAATGGGGCCCCTATGAGACCCCTGTTTGGTGATTTAACAGGAACTAGGGACTTTGTATTTGATCTGAGGGGCCCCTATCGATCGCGGGGCCCTGGGCACTTGCCCAAAGTGCCCACTGGGAAAGAGGGGTCTGGGTCAAAATAAGGGATTAATGTTTGTATAAATTACACTATCAACCTTTGAGAGAGAAATGGGAATTTGGTAAATGAGGTAATACATATATTAATTAATTTAGCTAAACAATTTGGCAGATTACTTTATGTACTTGTAGGAGGGCCAGGTTTTGGAAAATCATCCAAACACTACAATAAAATGCGGAAAATGGGGATATTTTGGTATTTCTATTTCGAAATCTCAACATCACTGAGAAATCCCTAGAAAAGATGTAATGTTCGTTTTGGATTCCCGTACACTGTAAACATTTATATAGGTATAAAATAGCTGCTCTATCGTTATATGTGCGTGCGAACTGCGTTGTGAATTTTCAATAACCTTTGACCTTTATCCGGTGCAACTCTCATGTGCTTACGAAGGCATTTAAAGCCGTTTTTCTCGGCTGCATTTGCAGTCGTTACTTGCCACCTACCAAATCCGTACTTCGCTCGCGCGTGGGTTATGTTATGGCCGATTGTACGTAGCGATGGCTTGTGCTCCAGAAATAAGCTAAAGTTGAGACTCGTCTTTTATATTGATCTGATCGGAAGTGTTTGAGAAAGTACTTCATTTAAAATGCATTATAACACACATTTATATAATATGTATTGTATTGAGAAGTCTCAACGCCGCACTCAAACTTGAATTATTCTTTAAGTTTCATTACAGTTGGTACTATCGCAACTAGTATTTGCTATCTCCAGGATCCAAGCATTAAATTTAATTAACGTCTCTGATTGCGACCGAAAAACAAATTTACCTATAACTAAAATAAAAGAAAAGTAAATAATGTCTGAAATATTATATTATACATATAAATTGAGAAATCACTTTGACATTTTCATTGACCAAGTGATCCATTCAAGCTACACGATTAAAATAGATATTATATGTAATAAAATCGATGTTTCCATTGATATTTAAAATTGTAAAACAGTCTTCGATCCGATTCACGATGCCGTTCTGTACCCCTACCACAAACCATTATCGAATTCGAATAGTTTGCGAGTGCAAAATGTCAATGTCAAATTTTGTATGGAAACTTGAATAGCAGCGCCACAAAGTACGTAACGAGAACTAAAAATCAGTACACATTTGACAATAACATTTCGGACTCGCAAACGTTACGAATTCGATATTAGTTCGTGCTATGGGTACAGTTGGTTAAAATTTGCCGGATATTTTTTTTGGTACAGTAATTATCGGAGTCCACTATGTGTTTGTACTTCAACGGATCATGTTGCTCAATACAAGTCATTCATTTTTTTGTTAATAAAAACATAATCGAGTATCTGTTACAAACTCACATTCACAGCCGCACACAGAGAAGACATTTAACATTTAAGTTTGTGTACTGAGATAACAATGGATTGAGATACGTGTCTTTATGAAGCATTAATTTAATTTGACATTTCTTCTTAAACAACTGTTAGCGCTCAGTGATGCGTTCGCTCCATTCCAGAAGGATGCTTGCTAAAATTGACATAAAATTTCATTATGCACCTACAAAAATTATCGTAGTTAAACTAGCACAGCTAAGAGGTCAGTATGCAGTATGCCATTGTATAATTTTATAGGCCCTTCCCTACCAGGGTTGGTGCAAACCCCTTTCGTTGTCACTATAGTAATTTAAGTGATTTACGGAATTGTTACCATGATTTTTGTTTTAAGCATTTACTCCGTGATCATGGCGCTTGCAACAGCGCCAAAATATCGGAAACTCGCTAAAAACAAGGTACATGGTAACAATCCCGTAAATAACTTACAATACAATACAAAAACTCTTTATTGTACACCACAAAAAACATTGAACATTGTACAAAACCATCTAGTACACGTGATGCAATGGTATACCAATGAAATTTTAGTATTCATAATTCATATATCGCTAAAGCGATCTCTTCCAGGCAATCTTTGGATGGAGAGGATTAGAAGGAAGTGGGAGAGACGGCGGTGTAAATCGCTAGTAAAATATATAATATATTAGTATAAACATACATACACCATACACATATAAGATATATATATATATGCATACAATAAGTATAAATTCAAATACATACATTGATCTAGTTCAGTTAGGAGGCAGTTGTAAGCACATCAGATATTAAAATAAAAGTATTACAATGTTAGAAAATGGGAATTCAGACTGTTTTTAAATGTTTAAATAGTTTCTGCTCGTCTTATCGAAACCGGAAGAGAATTCCATAGATGTACAGCTTGCACTGCAAACGAACGATGGAAAAAAGTTGTGCCGTGTACGGGAGTCATAAGAGCAAGATTTATATATTATAATGTTGTGACCATGAAAGTTTAAAACTTTTTTTTAATTATTTTTATTTAGTGGTTTATAATTATTGTAGCTCTAAAGTGAAAATAGTGGGGAGAGCACTGTCTTCTGGTCCTCAGGGTAACCTTTTCCAGAGGACAGGGTTCACATTATCATGTACTAAAATGTAAAGTGGTTCCAATAAATTATTATTATTATTATATTATATATATCGTTTCGTTGTCGTTTCTGTACGAATTATATACCGCGCGCACAACACCTCTTTGTGCCGAGTGCTACCGAACCATTCGACTCGCCCGCCCCACGTGGCGACATTTTAACAAAGGACAAACACCACAGCAAATAAAACGAAACGACAACGCACCGAGCCGGTCAAGAAGTGGTTCAAATACGGTACAGAAACGAAAACGAAAGGATCTGGAGGCCTACTCTATTTCAACGAAAAACGAAATTTCGATCGAATCTTCCCACTATTCTTAATCTCCCTTATTAATAAACGAAGACAACGCATGGATTAGTTACTCCATGTTTTGCCTCTGTCTATTAAATGACAAATGGCATTTGAGTGACATGAACAAAACACGGCGTAACTAGTCTAAACGTATTTCTTGTTTGGTAATAAGGGGGTATATGTTTCTGGTTCGTATTTAATTAGAATAATATTCGTCGTCTAAATATATATTGAGGTGTAGTTTTTCTAAGCCTACTCAAAGAAAGCTTCAATTTTATAGTTTGTCGTTTAAACGTCGTTATCGAAAGTTCGTTTCGGGGAAAGAGAGTAGACCCCCTGGTGAGGAAGGCGCCTTAGATAATATTACATTGGTTATCGATGGTTTAATACTCTAAAGCAATTTAAAGTCTCTTTTTTGGCTTGACTTCATAAAAATTACTACATAGGATAGACATAATTAGGATAAACACAGGGGTTATATAAAAGTGTGTCCCAGCATTGTTTAAAGTAAAAAATCACATAGCAATTCTATACGAGTGTGTCCCAGGATTGTTTAAAGTAAAAGTTCAACGCCGTGTGATATATATGTCCCAGGAGGCTTTAAGTAAAAACGCACTCACATAACATATTTAAGTGTATATTTCCTAGTAGAGAAGAATCCGTTTCTCGATTTGTTTGCGGCATATCGGGCACGTGGTGATGCGGTCGCCGCACATCTGGCACATGCCGTGCCCGCACAGGAATATCATGTTCTTCAACCGGTCTAAGCAGATCGGGCACATTGTCTGTAAACGGACATACCGATGAGAGAATATTCATATACGACACAGAGATATAGAAGGCCGTAGTGTAGGAGACTTATTTACTTAAACGGACATAATGATGAGAGAATATTCGTATACAACACAGACATATAGAAGGTGTAGGCCGTAGAGTGTAGGAGACTTATCCAAGTCTTTTATAGATACTCTACTAGAGATGCCCTGCGGTTTCACCCGTATTAATTTGAGGAAAATGGTTAGTGGATGATAGGATCCACCTTACATTGCTGTCGTGGACTTTTTTTTATAGAGCTTCTTATAGGGAACAATTCCGTCACACTTCATGCATGATTTTTATGTAACTTTTGCACACAACTTTTTAACAACGGAAGCTCACAAATATAATATTTTTCGCGGTTTTGGAAACATGTTTTATTGGTGCACCGTTCCTGTTGGTCGTATCGTTATGTTAAATAGTCATTAGCCTTCCTCGATACATGCACTATTCAACACATTTTTTTTATCGGACCAGTAGTTCCTGATATTATCACCGACCGACCATTATTATAGATAGATAGTCAGTCGGTGCAACGGCAGCTCTCTTGCCTTTTGTTTCATCGGATCTTGGATCAAATCCCGGAAGAAGTGTTGAATTGTGTGATGAGTACATATTTGTTCCCGAGTCATGCTTGTTTATATTCATTTAAATACATATGTTTTTGTACATATTTTTGTCTGTAAAGTAAGTAAGAGATATGTTGTCACTTTCTCTGTACCAAAACTCACCATAATAAATCACTAGCTTATTAGACATGAAAGCATGACAAACAAACTCAGTTTCTGATTGATAACATTGGAAAACCCCACTAATGACTATATCGCAAAATGACTACATATAATTTCGTCTAGATCTTTAATTGGCTTCATCGCATAAAGGCTAAAATCGCAAAATGACAAGATCTTTATTTGACCTCATCAAATAATGACTAATCGTAAAATGAGGAACTAGGTACATCTTTATTTGCCTACATCTCACAATCAATAGGTCGCAAAATGACTAGATAGCTTATTTCTCTTGTTTGTGTTTTGTTACATAAATGTACAGTCAAATGAAACATGCAGCTGCTGAGCTGTATGATGAGGGGCATTCGTTACTGAGGTATATTATGATTTAATTTTAAAATTCTAGGGAGGGGTGTAAATCTTATTATGACATGAGTAAAAACTTGGCCCGCCATAGATTCTGATATTATAGGCACGATAAGGAAAAAATTTGAGTCTAGAGGCATGGCACTGACGCGTTGGTGTTCGGCTACAACAAAGGACGACTCTGATAAACTTCATCCTTTAACTAAAAACAAAAACAGCAGCTCCGTATTTGGACGTACGTAGTATTGTAGTATAGGTCATGTGTAAAATAAGAAGTATTAAAGTTATATATACCTATTCCAGTCATAAGTTCTGTTACAAATGAAAATGCATTTTTTAATGAAGTAATGTAATATTTATAATTTTTATTTGTAAGCATGTAACTGCTTGATGTTTAAATCTAAAGAAAATATAACTAGAAAAAAATCCCAGCGGACCAGGCAGCAGACAGGACTCGAATAATAATAATGAAATTTATACCTACATATCTATTAGTCTCATTCATTGTGAGATGTGGTCAAATAAAGTTGTAGTCATTTATCGATCTTTACGAAGTGATACCTATGTAGTCATTTTTGCGATATAGGTAGTGGCAAACTTCTTGAGTAAAACCACACATAAATAAACTTGCGCAGTAGACTTTATGTATATAAATTTGCTAATGCTAATGCACAGCCTTAGTGCGCGAGCACACGATGCGTTGCGGCGCCGCACCGCAAAGATTTCACCGCATCGGTGGGCACACGAGCGGTGCGGCGCCGCAACGTTGTTACGTCGCAGCGGCGCCGCGGGCAAACCAGCAGCATACATTCTCTATGACGCATAAACAACTGAGCGGTACCGTTCTGACGTCGCAACGCTGTCACCCCTCCCCGCCTCGTCTCGGTGATTGCAAGTCCGGTGCGGCGCCGGAGCGCATCGTGTGACATGCCACAGATATTTCTATGTAAGACACCGCAGCGACACCGCTCCGGCGCTGCACCGCCGCCGCAACGCATCGTGTGCTCCCGCTCTCAGGGTGCTTATCCACCAGTGATGTGCTATGCAGCTATGCTACTAGGGTGTGTGAGCTAAGCTACGAAACTACGTGACCGTTTCTTCCGATGCTAAGCTATGTAGCGGGGCGAGTAAGATGTGCAGCTCGAGCTATGCGATGTATCGATAGTAGGCACTCTTCTCTTGATATAGCTACACCACTCGCAGTCATCATAGCCGGCATCCATAGCACGCATCCTTCCATAAAAAAAACATAGCTTAGTTGAACCCGTTTCCACCAGTGCTATGCTATCTGGACCAATGAATTTGATTGCTGGATATCAAACGCATCCACAGCAACGTAGCATAGCACATCTCTGATGGAAAAGCAGCGTTATCTATGGTCGTTGCTCAAGAAGTTTGCTTGGATGAGGTATATACATATTTGAAGTATGTATACCTGTTCCTTTATGTCCTGAAGCTGTTGTTGTAGTTTCTGCACTACCGCAGCCGGTTGAGGGGTAGCGGCGGGGGTCGTAGCTGGGGCGATTTGTTGAACCGGTTGAACTGGCGCGGAGACCGAAGTAACGGCAACGGGCCCTGGAGCGGGCGAGGGGGCGGGCGCATGCGCGGAAGCGGAAACGGACGTAGAGGCAGGAGTAGGGGTAGGGACGGGCCGGCAACAGTTGTTCGCTATGATGGCGGCGGCTTGCGATGACGACGCTTGCGCCTTGTTCACTTGTACCGCAGTCAGGTTACTATTATTGGTGTTGGTGCCGTCTTTATCCACTGGAAAAACATAAGAATGCTATTAGTATTAAGTCCGCCTTTTGTACCATTCTCTTGTATTTTGGTCAATAAAGTTTAAATAAATCTGTACATATAATAAAATGGTAGGGAAGTCAAAACTGTACATTGAATATTTTTTTAAAGTATACTTCTACAATCGATACTGAAGTCAAAAATATAGTTTTTAGAATTTTTGTCTGTTTGTCTGTATGTATGTTCGCGATAAACTCAAAAATTACTGCATGGATTTACTTCAAATTTGGCACGAATATTATTAAGAAGTCGGGTCAACATACAGGCTACATTTTATCACGCTATCACCTACGGGGAACGAGCAGTGAACCTTTATTTCTAACTAACTACACGCGTATGAAGTCGCAGGCGGCTGCTAGTATATAAATAAATAAGAATAAGAGTAGGTAACAAAGGATAATTATTTTTATTTATATGAGTGATTGACCAGGTGATGGTGCAAATGATAGCGCGTTCGGCCTGCGATCGTTGAAGTTAATTTACGCTATGACCAATCATCGGATAGGTGACCAAAATTTAGGATCTCGAGCTCTTCCGTATTTTGGAAGGCTTGTTAGACCGTTGATCTCGGCTGCATCTGCAGTTGTTAGCTGCACTAATCCGCATTAGTCGCTTGTGATGAGTTATTCATGGCCCAATCCGCCTATCCCAACCATAGGGAAAGCCTGTGGCCCAGTAGTGGGAACAATTGTCCTATCACTGGGGTCTGATGCTGATATCCCTGACCTTCGTGCCTGACGCTGGTAGTGGCGGGTGGGGTCGACAAGGGCGGGGGCGTCACTAACAGGGGCTGTTTTCGTGTGCGGCACTGTACACACTTGTCTTCTAACTGGGGACTAATGATGATGTCACTGACCTTCGTGCCTGCTGCTGGTAGTGGCGGGCAGTGTCGGCAGGGGCGGGGGAGTCGCTAAGGGGGGCTGTATTGGCGTGCGGCACTGCACACACTTTTCTTCTAACTAGGAACTAATGATGATGTCACTGACCTTCGTGCCTGCCGCTGGTAGTGGAGGGCAGGGTCGGCAGGGGCGGGGGCGTCGCTAAGGGGGGCTGTATTGGCGTGCGGCACTGTACACACTTGTCTTCTAACTGGGGACTAATGATGATGTTACTGACCTTCGTGCCTGCCGCTGGTAGTGGCGGGCAGGGTCGGCAGGGGCGGGGGCGTCGCTAAGGGGGGCTGTATTGGCGTGCGGCACTGCACACATTTGCGCATGAGCGGCGCGCACGCGACACACGCGCATACGTCGCCGCACGGCCGGAACACGACGGTAGCGGGCGCAGCCGAGCACACCACGCACTCCGTTACGCGCACGCGTGACGTCACGCACCCGCGGCATAGCAGGCATTTCTTCACCTGCACGACAGGAACACCGCGGATAGTTAATAAGTAACAGCCATAGCTGATTGACGACCTCCACAGCCGAGTGGTTTGTACGTCGCGTTTCAAGGTGTCACCTTCTCGGGTTCGAACCCCGGTGAGGGGCAGATGTTTGTGTGATGAAAACGAGCATCTGTTCTCCAGTCATACATGTTTAATATGTTTTCTTATATACAAATATACTTATATATGTCTCAGTATATGTATTCTATCCGTTACCCGCGTATTCCATAACACAAGCCTGCAGTGCTCACTTTGGGGCTAGGCTAATTGGTGTGAATGTTGGACATATTTATATATCGAAAAAGATAAAGCAAGTGTGTGTATTTCGCGTGCCAAAAACATAGCAAAAGGATGAGCAATGGTCCTCCTTTAACGCTCTTTTCGGGCTATCATGGCGGACGCACTTACCAATTATGCTACTTAATGGCCGTGTCGAATTGCTTCTAGTATTTCTTAGGCTGCAAAGGCAAAGCCAACTCTTTGCATTGTAGGTAACCCACAGATGCGGGTTCGAGTCCCGTCTGCTGCCTGGACTAGGTGGATTTTTTTCTAGTAAAATTTTGTTTAGATTTAAACATCTAGCAGTTAAATCCTTAAAAAATTTAGTACATTCCTGCAGCGGTCAGCAAAAGCGGCATTGATGGACGAACGTTTCGCCGTGCACACATTCTTAAGTCCACGAATTCCTAGTTGTGGCCAAGGCTTGTATAGTACTTTTCTCAAATAATACGCGGAAATTTATACAAATGTCGCGAAAATCCGTAAGTCTTTGTGAATGTCATATTATGTGTGCCATTTACGTAGGCAGTTGCTAAACAGTCACTCATATTCATAAAAATAAAAACACTGTACGCCTTTTAACATGAAAAACTGTATGGACATACCCTCGCGGCGCAAACGTTGCAGCAGCATATATGTCCGCAGGGTCGGAACAGAGTGTCCCGCTTGCCGTCCGAGCAGACGAGGCATTCGTCTGCGGTCGGATCACTTTGCACAGGCGCCACAGCAGCAGACGCAGACGTAGACGGTGTTTCTGCTGCCGGCGGCGGAACGATGGCCGATGTGGATGCAGATGTACTGGAGGCGGGGGGAGGTGGGGACGAAGCTTGCTCGCTCTCTGGGGAGGCGTCGTTGGCCCCAGGGCCCTCTTTGCGGCACATTGTCAACGTCTTGTAGAGGTTCGGATCGGGGCACAGGTCCAGTGGTGTTTGTCCTGCATAAATAAATGTTATGACGATAGTATGTTCAATACTCACACCAATTAGCTTAGCCCCAAAGTAAGCACTGTAGGCATGTGTTATGGGATGCTAGGGCAACGGATAGAATACATATACTGATACATATTTAAGTATATTTATATAGAAATATACATATTAAACATCCATGACTGGAGTACAAATGTTCGTATTCATCAAACAAACATCTGCCTCCATCGGGATTCGAACCCGGGACCTCTCGAGTAGGCTACACCTTGAAACCCGGCGTACAACAAACCATGCGGCCGCGGAGGTCGTCAAACGTCGATGATAGTAATATCGCTCTGATATTTATTAATCGCTTTTGTTATTTTCAGAAAAACATCCTCCCCCCCCCCCACTCGCTCCTTTTTATACAATAGCGATATCGTCCGCGTTAACTTTAGTTTTTTGAGAATTTCTCAGGAATCCAAAATTTTTCGGGATAAAAAGTTTCCTATTTTTCTCAATTAGGTAATAAACTACATGTGTGCTAAATTTTATCCAATTCCGTTAAGCAGTTTTTGCGTGATTGCGTAACAAACTTTCACATTTATAATATTAGTAGGATTGTAGAATTGATTTATTGACACAAGCTTTAGTTTTGTAGGCGATCGCATAAAACAGTTAAAGTAAGCTGGACCTAGTTAAAAATGTTAATTACATCGTTACCATCAGCATCCAATTGCTTAGATGCATCAACGGCATGTCGGAGTAATGGTAAAGCTCTAGTAGTCCTAGATTTATTTGTGTGATGATGATCACAATTATTTTTTTCGAACTCTGCTAGGCATAGAAGGCATAGTAAATATAGGTTTAAATACGCACCTTTCTTATTCTTAACTGTGAGATCAGCGCCATTACTGACTAGGAAGCAAGCGATGGACACGGATGATTTCTTGTCGTGAGCGTGGGCCAGGCCGGTGAGGACAGTCGTGTCGCGAGCGTCTTGCAATCGCCTCAGCTGCTGCAGCGTGTGGTGTCTGAGAGCTTCGTGCAAGGGTGTATCTCCATCCTGTAATAAGAAGATGTCAATATAGTTACGTGCTAGACCTGGGGGGAGGCTAAGCAAAATGTTCCTTAGTGTGTACTCTTTTGTAATTATCATCAGCCTATTAATGTCCCTACTGCTGGGGCACAGGCCTTCCCTATGGATGGTATAGGGAGATTGGGCCATGACCCACCACGCGGGCCCAATGCGGATTGGTGGGTGCTAAGACTGCAGATGCAGCCAGGACCAACGGCTTAATGTACCTTCCGAAGCACGGAGGAACTCGAGATAGAAGATTTTTGGTCACCCATCCAATGACAGACCATTGCGAAAGTTGCTTAACTTCAACGATCGTAGCCGAACGCGCTAGCCACCCACACCATCGAGCTCCACCTCCTCTTTTATAATGCTTTAAAATAATATGTACTTCACATAAAGTCAGTTGTAATAAGCATTACATGGAGAGTCTCACCAAAATTTTAGATAAAACCTTGAATTTCAGATCTTCTTATTTTAGACTAGCGGCCGCCTGCTACTACGTCTGCGTTAACTTTAGTTTTGTGAGAATCCCACAGTTTCTCCACTCTATTTTTTGGAGAAACCTACGAAATCGTAGTCCATGGGCGTAGACTAGTAAAAAAACATGAACTTACTCCAAAATTATTGGAACATGTTACGTATATTTTCTATAGAGATGAAAAACCCAATCTCGTGTTCGCAAACTCATCAATTGCTGCTTGCGTATTTGTCGGTTTTTAGAACTTTTCACGTGAATTATTTGAGGACGTCACCAATTTGATCGGCGAACGTTCTCCACGGACGGTTTCTGCCGACGTCGACGCTTCCAGACACATTCGATTAGAATGTAAACGAGTGAAAAATGAGTATACGCCAAATGGCACGTAGCGCGCCGGTTGCGGTTCAAATTTAAATCTCCTAGTCTGAGACTGTTCTATTTGTATTTTTAGAGAGACGCGTCAACGATGCACTAACATCGATCTTCAATTAAATGTCCCTCTCGCATGTATTTAATAGCATGGACATATAATGAGAATCTTTCTTTTAAAAGGGTCATAAAAAAATAAATTGAACGCAACGCTTTGTCCAGTAAAGGTATCGTGTGTGTAACTTTTTATAGCACATAGAAAGGTACGATCCGAGTGTGTGTTGTTTTTTGACTTCCAGCAGCAACACCGAATACAGGTTGTGTGAAAACTGCAGGTTAGTGTTTTGCTGGTTAGTGACACACACCCAATCTCTCCGAATGCACAGTGAAATTAATCACGTACCTAGTTATTCTACTTTATCACATATGTTACGATCATCTTTATGTTCCACGAGCAAGCACATGATCGAAGTGTACTGTTGCTCCAGAGCCAGGTGCAGGGCCTTTTGTAGGTTGGCGTTCTGCAGTTCTAGGCGTCCACTCGCATCTAAAAGCTTTCCCAGACAAATGAATCGTGTAGTTACTTCTTATCGTATAATGTTAAAGTCTGCTCAGTATGGCCAAAGCTAGCGCACGATCTGAGTGTACCACCGGTCGACGATCAAGTGCAGGTCTGTCTGCAAATTGGCGTTATGCAGGTCATGGAATAAAGCAACTCACACCGATTACCACCTCAGTCAAATTAATTATTTAATTACTGCAGGATCGTCTGCAGGTTGGCGTTCTGCAGTTCGCGGCGAGCGACCACTGCCACCAAAAGTTCTTCAAGCCCGGTCAAATAAATCATGTAATTACTCCTTATATTAGTAGTTAAAGAGAGGTAGCGGGTTTTTCAGTCAAATTGGAGCGCTCGTCTGGAGAAGCAACCACCACCTTGTACTTCTGCTGGTGAGCAGGGTTGCAGGGCTTCATTACCAATACTCTGCCCTGGTATTGGGTTCAAGCCGCCAAGGTGAGGATGGCTGGAGCGCCACACATTCTGCCGCATCATCTATACCCGCGACTGGATTCCACCTACACTTAAGCTGTGTATGTGTGGTAGGGTGGCGTAATTAACTGCGCTTCGTATTAAAAAACTTACCTTATCGCATATGTTGAGATCAGCTCCATGTGCCACGAGTAAGCGCACGATCTGAGTGTGCTGCCTCTCGACGGCTAGGTGCAGGGCCGTCTGCAGGTTAGCATTTTGCAGGTCAGGGCGTGCGCCTGCTCGCACCAACAGCTCTGCCACCTCGGCGTGGTTGTTCAAGGCGGCGAGGTGTAGCGCCGTGTAGCCGTCATCCTTCGCATCATCCACTATCCACGGCCGATGCAGCTTGCTCAGCATTATTTTCATGGCACTGTAACGGATAAGTAAATATAAATTAGATACACAAATTAGCCACACATTATTATATATGATATCAACTTTTATCCCAGTTGATCACATTGAATTTGGGGCGTACAGTACCCCTAGCACGAACCAATATCGAATTCAGAACGTTTGGGAGTCCGAAATGTGTACTGATTTTTAGTTCTCGTTACGTACTTAGTAGCGATGCTGTTAAGTTTCCATAGAAAATTTGACAATGATATTTCGGACTCGCAAACTATTCGATTTCGATATTGGTTTCTGCTAAGGGTACTGATCTTTCTCTCTTCGCGCAGTATGTGTCTTTAACTTAATTTGATAGTTCCGACAACGATACTTTTTAAACAAGCTTATTTCAATAAAGGTTTCTCCGAGTACAATCAATTAATCCACCTCTTTCGAATTATATTGTCGCTTTGTAGTCCAAGCCCTTAATCGAGACAATGGACTCCTTAGAACGTCTGTTCTAAGTTCGCTGTAACTGACTGTAGGTCTATACAGAAAAACGGATAGAGTTCTTTTGGATTTATAATTTTAATTGGATAGTATGCGATGAATATGTAAGTAATTTTTTGATGACATTGCTAAATCATTGACTCATGGCGAGTTCTTACGTAAGTACCTATGTCTTAATCAAAAAAATGTTGTACCCACCATTCCAAAAACGTACTATAAGTTTTCCTGCGCCAAAAGGTTTTATGAAACGTTACTTAATCCTAATCCATCCGCTATATCCATCAAAAAGATTTCGAATTCGAGTTTTGCTGTTTTTGTGTTGACTTGGTAGTGTTGGTCGTTGTTATTGATATCTATTTATAAAACTAATTAGATAAAACAAGGCTGTGAGCTTATATTTTTCTCAGAAAGGTCTGAACAACGTTGCATTTTTGCTAAGAAAATACACTCATGATTTGTAATTTATTTTTCTACACCGGGAAGTTCCTATCATGGCTATTATAATAATCGACCACAACGACGATTGTAATATGGAAATGACAGTAAAAACGCGAATGGAACATTAGTGACCTGCGTAATAGAATACCTCCACCATACCGTAAAGTGGTTTGCAGTGACTCTATTTACTAATCATGAAACTAAACAAAATAAATAACGATTTGCTATAAAAATACGCATATTTTTAAGCTAAAATTAAACACCATTTCAAAAGACAACTAGAACAGCTACAAACATTAAAAGAAATCAGAACTACGTAATTAAAGCGATATATTATTCTTTCTCTTTTTTAGATACTACGCTGGTAAACAGAAAAAATCATATTTAAAAGTACCTAAGACTGCAGCTAATTGCAACATTAAATGCACAGACGTGAGGCGCTAGTAGAATGGAAATGTCTAATTAGGTTAGGTTTGTGCAGACGTTAAACAAACTGTATACGTATCTCGAGAGGAGGTCTTATTAGATTCTTTCTTACTTAATTTTGATTTTGATTACAAATTTTATATTATCTTAATTATTATTATAATTATTTGTGGAGATTTTTAAATGAAGATGGCAATGGTTGATTCAATTTTCACAGAGTTGATATTTTATCCGTCAATTTCCCAACAAATGAATACTTAAGTAATATATTTATATATATTTAATAAGATTTTGTTGCATTACTAGCGGCCGCCCGCAACTTCGTACGCGTGCAGTGAAATTATCTTCCTTTCATCCATATGTCACAAGGGTCTAAGTTTCATACTTTAAAAATTACATGGTTTTTTGTGATCTTTCATTTTTGGATTTATTCTCATCTTCCAACTGGTGGTTCTATTATTATATTATATTATTTAAATTATAGTCCCGGCTGCATCTGCAGTCGTTAGTACTCACCAATCCACAGGGGGCCCGCGTGGATCTGTGCCTAGGCTCCAGCAGTAGAGAAGTTAATAATGCCGCAATTACATTTGGCCGTTAGCCCTTTTTCGGGTGCACGAAAGACATTAATCAAATTCGGGCACCCGAAGCAATATTTCCACTGGAATACGGACTGGAAGCATAGAGGTATAAGAATAGAGTAGGGGAGATTTAGGCTCTACTACAAGTGGAACTGCTAGCTTTCTCTCTCTAATCGCGCATGCGCATTGGCAACCGTAAGCATCTTTCTATTTCGATGTGATGCCATTGGATGCCGTGCGTCACAAGAGAGAGATAGCTAGCAGTCTCTCATCTTCTTTCTCATTCTACTAGACGGACACTTAGAACCGCCTTCCCCACTCTATTCTTATACCTCTATGACTCGGGGTAAACAAAAGGAAATCTACCCGAATACGGGCGCACTCGACTCTATTACTGTACACTAAGTCGTTTACCCGAATTTCATTGGCACTCGTATTCGTCGGGCTAACGATCAAGTGTAATTGCGCCATAAGGCTGATGATTTTCTTGATATGAAAAAATGGTGACAAACAAGCATTGGGCCCGCCTGGGCGGTCAAATATCACTCGCACCGTTGCTTGCCCTGACCCAATCCCCTACCCCGTGGAGCTCTTGAGCGCTTATTAACCGACAAAAAACACAACACCACCAAAAGGTAGTTAGTCTCATTTTACATCTTCTGTGACGTGAAGAGTACTTCCCCGGGGCTCCAATCCGTGCGGAAAAACCATTATGATAATTGTAATTCGGTGAAAAGTATTCACAGTGGCTATAGCGTAAATAGTGGGTCCAATATATTGTCACAAACGCTCTCGAAACGGAACCGCGAAAGTGCTAGAGATCGAATGTGCCAGAGCACCGCGGGTCGCGATAGAGGTCGAGTTATGCGGCTCATTCTAAAATGAGCCTTATGCAATACGGCGTAAGGGAGAAAGTGCAACGACATCTGAACTTGTTTACAAGTTATGCGCGCTACCTGCGTAGGTATAAGTAGGTACTTCGTACTCGCGGCTGCTAGCTAATTCTCAATTTAAAAGGTACTTTCTAGAACGCGTCGATTGGCGTATTGGCTCCGGGCAGAGACAGTTGAGGTTCAACAGCGATTTTGGAACGAATACAAAAGCGATCAAAGTGCAACAAAAGTGTTCAAGTGCGATTGTTTAGAGACTTGTATAGTGAAATACAGTGTTTTGTAATTAACATTGTATGTTAATTGTGTGGGGTATAAAGAACTGTCAAGCGTGAACTGGCATATAATTGTGAACCCCATCCGGACACGTAACAATATATGCAGAAAGTTTTTAAGAAGGCTTGGCGAGTGACTTCCTCTCATACCCCTTTATTAATAAACAAGGGATAAGTTTAGATTAGTTACGCCGTATTTTCTTCACGTCATTCATATCATCGTCATCATCATCATCATCATCATCATCATCATCAGCCTATTAATATCCCCACTGCTGGGGCACAGGCCTTCCCTAGGGATGGAAAAGGGAGATTGGACCATAATCCACCACGCGGCCCTAGTGCGGATTGGCGGGTCACTCATATGCCATTTGTCATTCAATGAATAGAGATAAAACATGGAATAACTAATCCAAGCTTATTCTTCGTTTATTAACAAGAGGGATAAAGTAACGGATTTAAGTTTTTATCTCATGGAGGTTTGCATCCTATCACGTGATATAACATAACATAATTGTATTCGTTGCGAAATGTAGGATGCGTATATCACTTTTTACTTATTACATTTACATTACACATCAATAATGCAAATTTTGTCATTAATTAGTTTATGTTTTTGTGTGGTAATAACTCGGACCACAATAGTTATCCATGGGAATAAAAATAAGAGTCCGATTGCTAGCATATTTAACCGAAACTGTTATGTTGTTCGTTTTTTATGGACCTACTACAATAATAATTAATTGCTTACTTACGTTTTGTACAGTAGTAGCTACCAAAAGCACGCTGATCTCAATATAGCGAGGTGGGGTTCATATTTTTTGTTGTGGATTTTTATTACATATGGGGCATACGCCCCCGCGATGATTTCGCTTTAGAACTCCACGAACGATGTCATACGACAGTAAGAAATATTCTTGGAACCCCCGTCGAGTAGTTACTATGAGCAAAGGCTTTTTGTTTAGAAATAATTTTTGTTATCTTTAGATATTTCATCACAAAGGAAAAACAGAGCTTTTGAATTTTTACGATAAATCGTAGGTCCTAATGAGAGAAATGCATGAGTATTGTGGAACACTAGTTTGGAACGAAGTTAAAAATATTTATATAATACCCACAAATTCGCACTGGGCCCAGGCGTCAAGTCATGGTCCAATTTCTTTATTCCAACAATAAAAGTATGGCGGATCATGGTCCGATCCCCCGATTCCGTTATAATATTAAACAAAACTTTAAACCAAGCCACAGCCACTCACTGCCGTTAGTAGTCGCGCATCAGCTGCCCATCTAGCGTGGTTGTGATAGAAAAATCTTACAAAATTTTCGCCTAGTCCCCATTCGCCATATCGTCTGAAAAGCAAATTCGTTCACAAGAAAAACCCCATTTACTTTATCAAATCATATATTTCAATTAACAGAATTTTGTTCAGTTTTATAGCGCACTAGAGAAAAACATAAAGATGGCCCAGCTAAAAATGCCTTGGATTTATTCTCTTTAATTATTTTTGTTGAACTAATAGAGCGTTTTAATTATTAATTACAAGTATTAAGAATATTTTTACAAGTATCAAAAAGTTCGGAATGTCCAATGGTATGCCAAATTTCCAATCTGCAATGCCAATCATGTGGAATTAAAAGGAATGTCTCAACATCGGCCAGCTAAAACAGTACGCTACATGCCACCATGGCGGGGAACTGATTTATTATTTCGGTTGCAGAAAACGACTACGATGTTGGGGTGGTTGAACCCACACGAAAATAGCTCCAGAGATAGCGTTTACATCACCTACAAGATTTACGTATCCACTGTCGCTGAAAAACAATGACGTTCGTGTCTGTGTTATTTTTTCAAAACATTTTTATTCAACGTTACTCTGGTTTCAATGAATTATACATGTAAGATCATAAAGCGTTTCCGCGACGACTTTCGCGTG